TTGGGGTTTTGGCAGCTGCTGGTGCTTGCTTTTATTTTTTTTGCATCCCATGATAACTACGAGAGTTTTGTCATCAGCGCGTGAACATATCAAGCTTACGATGATATCATCGATTCTTTCTTTATTATGATCAAATGATGTGATTATTTTCTTTATTTGCAAGTTTACTTGCAAGTTGTCTTTGTATGATATTATATCTACTATTTTAAACACCCCCATTTTAATTACTCCTGTTTAAATTATCGACGCATGATTCTCTAAGAAACTCGGTTTCTTGTGAAAGATTATTTATGCACAATTAATTCACGATAAAATTTGCGCATTTTGTTTGTTTCCCATTCTGTGACTTTCCCATTTATTTTATTAATTTTTGCTGATTTAGGATGAATTAAGGCAAGGAAAGCATATTTTGTTCGTTCTTATCTGTGTATCTCATTTTGGTTTATGCACAACGTGGATGTTGATGAATTGCATTTTCTAATGTGTTAGTTTAAGTGGCATTTTGATTATACATAATTTAACTTAGGAGTACATGTATGCATAAAAATATTATTATTTGTAGTCACAAACCGTAAAACTCGCATTTTCAAAAATGCGGTTTTCTTTCATTGATGATATGCTTACACGAAAGAATTGCGCATTTTTTTTTATCAAAAAATCGCAATGTACGTCAGATTTTATATGTAGTATATCAAAAAAAAAAAGCACGATCCAACAAACCCCACACACGATAAACTTGCACAATCGAATTTAACATTTTTCCGTATTAAAGAAAAGGATCCATTCATGCATTGTAAGCATGGATTATTTTTTTGCGATATTGACGAAACATGGAAATCTCGAGATTTCGCATTTTTTTCAACAATGGTTTGTGCGTCAAAATCCAAAATTCTCTTTTTATGTTAGTAGAATTGTTTATTTTACCCATTATTGATTTAGATCGAAGAATTCCTCGATCACTACTGATAATATATACATTGTTTATTATTGTCGGTTTGCTAAATAGCATAATATCACATACCATTAATCACATCCCACATTAGTCACATCATATAATATATAGCTGAAACCAGAAAATGTAAACATAACGCACAACATATATGCAAGCCAAGACGAAAAAACCTGAAAAAGATGAGACACAAGAAAGAAAAGATGAAGTAAAAAAAAAATGCACAGAATACGTATAGTGCAATGGATGTGTCGCCGTAATCTTCTTGCATAAAAAAAACGACGACGATTTTTACTAGTTAAATGCAAAGCATATCCATCCTTTATTTGTATTGTCATTTGCATTTATATGCCTACCGAGCGAAAATCTTTAAAATATATCTTGGTATTTTATTTTAGTTTAAATAAAAGATATTTCGCTATACTAATTTATTAATGGGATTATTTTTGCCTTCTGATAGGCATTTTTAAATGCTCAATGTTTGGTGTCTGTTCTCATCCAACATCATCGCCAAGTGTTTGTCTGTTCGCCGATTTTTTATTTTTATTGTAACGTAACTCAGCATACATTCATGCTTACGGAGCGGTTAAATGGAACAAAAATATATGAAGATCTCCGCATAAAATAACGATGCATGAGCTGCTTTTCATTTTAATTATATAACACAAAATAATCTTTCATTGTATTTGTTACAATCATCGTCACAACTTCATTCATGCAGTAAGGCAGAACTTTAAACCTTCTTAATAACGATATTTAAAAGCTGTTGATTGGTAATGCAATATATCTACATCTCGGTTTACGTGTACAATAGGCGTTTAATCCACAAAATGTTCATTATCCATGATTCCAATAATGATTTTTGTATTCATTATCTCTTTATGCGATAGCGGAATAATAGCCAAAATAACCGTTTTATTTGTTATCTTTGATTTCTAAACGCAGGGGAAACAGGAGTAAAGACAGGGGATCGAGGAGAAGACTTGTAAAAATGATGTCTTATGAGATTTCTTGCATTTAATCTCGCGCAACACATATACATGCACATTATTGCGACACAATTAGCATGGAAAAACTCAGATTGAGGTCGTGTGAACTTTTCTTTCTTCCTTTCTTATTATTGTGCTTAGCTGTTACGATGAAATATTCTTTTAGAGAATCGAATCTAGTCAAAAATTTGTCTGTCAAACCCTATGCATTCCATACCTTACTTAATACCTTAACGTTAATCAAAGCTCCGAATGAGAAAGTTTAATGGCAAACTTATGCAAAGTAAATCTGAGAAATAATTAATCAATCAATCAATCAATCAATCAAAAATAGTTTGAAAACAAGAGAGATAAATCGTTTCGGTTTATCTTTTGACGTGATAAATGGCATGTGCATAACAAGAATCTTACATTTTTCTCTTTTTTGGATGCATACATGCGTGCATATATAGACATTGCATGCATTATTGTTGAAATAGAGAACTTAAATTTATTGATTTGCAACAGTCATAGTCAGACAGTTTAAGCGAGACAATTTAGCGTCAAAGACAACGACAATTTTTGCGAAATAATAGCGAAGAATGAAAAAATTTTCTTTTTCACATGCCGCATCGATGAAACCAGTGATTTAGTCCAAAGCTAAAGATCAAGTCCAAAAAACAAGCTTTTTCTTTTGATTTTCATTCTTTTCCCTTATGATTATCGTTTCGTTGATTTCATTATTATGGTGTTCACGTGTGAGAAATAATCATGACAATCAAGGAGGGATTTTTCCCCGTTTTGCATCATAAATATCCGGTAATTTGAAAGATAAGACACAATATCATGAAAATTACGAAACATACAAGATTATGACCGTTACAAAAGATACAAGATTACGACGTGTTCTTCATTGCGTTGCGTTTTTTTGGCTATTTCTATTGATCGCGTTAAACGGATGATGTCACATATCACGGTCAATTATTCTATTATTTAGAGATTTGTTTTTGGCATAGAACCTAATAAGTAAAATAATTAGAATTCTATTTAACATTGTAAAAACATTGTGATTTTCAATTAAATATATGAAAATTATTATTTCTCAAACATTATCCAAAATTATCACCAAAGCTGTATAAATTAACTTCAATAGAGATTGCTATTAATTTATCTAGTCAATTACTTCATTTAAGGCAATATCATATATGCTTAGCTTTTTTTTTCAAGTGTAAATTAGGTTTTATAGTAATTGCAGAATGTCGGTGCGTAAAAAAAATTGATTTTTATGGAAGGTGATAAATTAAATTTCCCAAAAGAAAATTTCCAGTGATATTAAGATGAAGTGTGACTATAAAAATATTGTAACGTAGTAGACGTGTGTGCAAATAAATCAATCAGATGTACGCACAAAGCAAAGAAACAATGTGACACTATTGATGCATCCATTAACATCTTATTTCAAAAAAGTAAACCAACAAAACAAAAAAAAATAAAACTTGTGAAACATCAAATTCACCACCACACATTATCTTGGCTAGTACGCGGAAATATACGAAACACACAACATGATTTGGACACATACAAGTCTAAAACACGGGCCCTGCAGAGGAATCTTAATGTTAGTTAGGGTTAGTTGGTTGTTTGGTTAGTTAGCTGATATTCTCTTTCAAAAAACGTTATTATGTTGCTGATCGAGTGATAGAAGTTATCCTGCTTTCTATTCAAATGTGATAACAATATTCAATAATCGTCATGAAAATCTTAATTATTTAATAAGCATAAATTAAATTAACCATTGATTGAGTTGATTGGATCCAATTATATTATTATTTAATTACACGTACAATTAAAAGCGATAACATCATGTCATATATAGATACATCGTCGCCATTGTCATCATGCTCTTGCTATTGTTCTAAATGGTAATGAGCGAGGGAGCAGAATTATAAATTAAATCAATGGTAAGGGAAAATAAAATTGATCTACTTTACACACGCACAGTACTTTTCAATGAACACACTCACAACAAATATGATATCGATATACAGTCGTTGTTATCGCCAAATCCACTGGAAAAACAAAAGTTATTCCTCATCCAGTCAAAAAATGCAAGTTTTTTATTTATTTATTTATTTATTCATTATTTTATTAGTTCATTATTCGTCTGAAAAAAATTTTTCTCCCCTGTATATGTGTATAAATATTCTATAGAATAGGCATATTATATACTAAATATAATATATTAGCATGATTGCATATATAAAAATAAAATACAAATAGAAATTAAATTAAATGTTGTATATAAAATAGTGTATATATATATTTTATATATATATATATATATCTATATATATATATAATATTCTTTTTTTAAACTTTGATTACTACTTTCTTGTTTTCCTTTTTCTCGAACACACCCTCTAGTATATCTGCTTCTTTTTCTTTTTTCTCTCGTCTATAATAATAATACAAACAAAATATTATATTCTCGTTTCATTTATAAAGAGGTTCAACCAACCAACCAACAGTAAAAATCCATTCTCATAAAATCAGTTTTATTTATTACACACAAAACAAAGCAAATAGCAACACAAAACTCCCTTATCTTTGCCAACCTCACAAATTCTATTTGCACTTTAAGTATTTATTGATTGAATCTTTTTCCAACCTTTCGTCAGTTTATTATTTTTCTCATATTTAAGCACGCAGATTATTCTCTATTTCCTTTTCCTCTGAAAACTTAACAACAGCAATATCATTTTGTAATCATAAAAAACTTAACAACAGCAAAATCATTTTGTAATCATAAAAAAACTTAACAACAGCAAAATTATTTTGCAATCGTAAAAACGGACGCAAAATTAGCTTGAAATCGTAAAAAAATCAACAACTGATTTTTCTGCGATACTCACTTGTTATTTCTTTAGCACATTGTTCTATTACATCAAATTTCCTGTCCCAAGACTATCTACATTTTTATTATCACACTACGAGAATAAACTTTCTTTCTTCTCATTCTTTACATTCACGCATACACGTACACATACACATACACATAAACCAAGTAAATAACAGTAGAGATTATGGATATTTTGGAACTTATACACACAGACACTCAACATAGTGAAAGTCGACCATTTCGTTGCAGTTGGAACGACTGTAGTAAAGCATTTTCGCGCCGATCTGACCTTGCGAGACACGGTCGAATTCACACGAATGAAAGGTAAATATCTATATTATTATTTGTATTCTTGTTTGTGTATGAGCAAGAGTGGCTTTGTTGTATTGCTTTGCTTTGTTTTGTTAAAGAACCAGAGAAATGTACACAGAACTCATTATCATTTACAACTACTATTTTTTATTATTATCAATATCGATAGGCCATTCGCTTGCACAGAAGCCGGATGCGGAAAGAGTTTCATTCAGGTGAACAAATAATGCTATTACTTAATTTGTGAGGGTCTATCGATACACGTGCAGACTTTCATTATGATTATTTATTTATGCAGTTTTGTTTTACTTGTTTATTCCAAAAATTTATAATAATGCATACATATAATTTGTTAGTTCTAGACCACAATCATTTTTTTCGAGTTACATTGTTACATATGACAACATTTGTATATTATATCCTGACGAACATGATATCATATAATTTTTTAGCGTTCAGCACTCACTGTCCACATGAGAACACATTCCGGAGAACGACCACACATATGCGAACAGCCAGAATGTAAGAAGACATTTAGTGATAGTAGCTCGCTGGCGAGGCATCGACGCATTCATACAGGAAAGCGGCCGTACAAGTGTGGTTTTGATAGTTGTGGGAAAAGGTATTTTGTTAATTGATGATTGATTTAATTATCCATAATCAAAATTCAACACTGATAATATCAATAATTCATCACAGCTTTTGTAGGAAAACTAATCTAACAAGACATCATCGTCGTGAACACATACTCTCAGTAAAATCAGATCGACCAATCGTATGGCGTCCATTAATAAATAACGAACATCATCAACACCTTCATCATCACAATTATAATCCTACGCTTACACTTTTACATCCTCCATCAAGCCCTTCATCAGTTTCCTCTTCTGGTTCATCACCCACAAGTACACCAACAACCCCTAATTTTCCCCCAATTTATTATTCGTTACCATCATCTTTATCACCGTCATCTTCGACTTCATTATCACGAAGTAATAGTGTCGGATCAACATCACCAACTACATCAATATCCAATAGAATAGATCAATTGAACAAGGGTGAAGATGAATATGATGACGATCATCATCATCATATGATTAATTATCATGGATCTCTGGCAGATATGTCGACACTAAATCATCACCAGCATCAGCATCATCAATTTGAGGCAAATTCCTATTTTCCGAAACAGCCACCAATATTACTGCTGCCCCCCTTTTACCCAACAGCTACTAATTCACGACAATGTTAATGTGCCTATTTTATTATTTCGAAATCTTTTATGAACTTTAAAAAAGAATGACCCGCTTCAAAAACGACATTTGATCAACTTTATTGATCGATCGATTCATTCACAAAACATTATATATTTGTTTCGTCGAGTATACCGAAAAATATATATATACACATATACATATACATACAAATACACATACAAATACATATACAAATACATATAAATATTATAGAAAAAATAAAAATTTGGACAATTTACTCTTATGTAATAAGGTTAAAAGAGTTAAGGTCAGGATAGGGTTAGGGTTAGAGTTAGGGAATCAACAACATACTTATATTAATTTATTATTTCTTGTATAAATTTCGTTTCCATTTTTTTATTTTTTGAACGCGTTTTTCCTCGAAGACGCGTCGCGTGTATAATTAATTATATATACATACATTACTTTAAAACATTCACATAATCATCATCTCAACATTTTTGTATACAACATAAATAAATCCATAAAAGGTATATTTATTTTAAGTACATGTATTATTATATGTTAAAACAATAAGAAATACAATAACCAAATCCTCATTAATTCTTTTTTGTCGCCAATATTATCTAATTCAGCAATTGAACAGTCACTATTATCATTCTTAAATAGCTTCATATATAAATACATGAAAAACTAAAAATGGTAATAATTTGTTTTTAATATTAATTAATTGTAATATATAGTGGCAATCAAAATTTATTAATAATGCGAAGTTTTCAACTTTACTAGATTTAATCTGAGAAAGTTTTTAATTATAAAGTAAATCGATTAATTTTTATATTTTAATTATAAAAAAAACTAATTAACTTTGTAATTAGAAAAACTTACTGGAATTAAATATAAAAATATATATTAAAATATGAATTATTATTTTTGTATTTTCATATAAGAATTATTAGTAAAATTGAAAAATTTTATGTAAAAAAAATCACATTTTATTATGTTTATCAATAAATTTTGACGTTATTGCATTTTTTTTATTGTTATTATATTTATAATAAAAGAATTCTAAATGAAATCAAACATAAAAAATGAAAAAAATAAATATAATAATATAATATAATGTAATATATTATAAATTTATATAAAATTAAAAAATAAAATATTAATTTATTTATTTGTTAAATTTAAAATTAGCAAATAATTTAATTTATTCTGATTAAATTATAATTAAATCTTTTTATAATTATATATATTTATATTTATATCTTTTTATAGTTATTCAATTTGGCTTTTTCAAATTTTTAATTAATAAAAATTTTTATATAATTATATATTCTTTATAATAATTATTATTATTTAATGGAATATCAAAAAAAAATTATTAATAAAATATAATAAAAATATAAAAAATACAAATTTTTTCTTATTTAAAAATTTTGAATTTTACTAATAATTTATTTTTTTAAAATTTTTTAAATTTAATTTTGTATAATATTTTTAGTATTTTTATAAACTGAATTAGACTGAACTATTTATTATATAAATTTAAGTCTGATTTGAGTTTGATTCAAAATTAGCATATAGTATTTATATTGATTTGTAGTTCTAAACATGAGCTATAATTTTACTTATAAGTATAATATTTAATAAGAATTAAAAGTTTATATAATAATAACTAAAATATTTTTATTTTATATTTATAAAATTTGATTATAAATATTATATAACTCCTTGAATAATTACTATTAATAATAATTATCTTATATTAATTTGTAACTTATATTTTTGACTATAATATTATTTATAATTATAATTTATTACTATAACAAAATAAATATTTATTATACTATAACTAAAATTATAATAATTAAAAATATTTTTTAAATTCATATAATATCTTGAATATTTATTCTAAATATTAATTATTTTATATAATTTGTAGCTTTGATTAAGATTTATAACTTTATTTAAAACATTATTAAATATTTACTTAAACTCAAACTAGACTTTTGATCAGATTTGAGTTAAATTCAAAGTTTAAATTGAACTTAAATCAAACTGTTATTAAGAATACTTATCAAAATCTTTTTAATAAATACTGAAATACCAAAACTCTTATTATAAGTAGTAATTACTATTATTAAAATAGTATAATAATATCAAAATATTGCAGTAAATAAATTTTAATATAATAAATAATTTGATATTGTCAAAAAATTTTGACATAAATAAGTAATTTTGATATTATTAAAATAATATTAAAATGATATAGTAATACTAAAATAATATAGTAAATAAATTTTAGTATAATAAATAATTTCAGCATTTTTAAAGAATTTTGATATTGTCAAAGAATTTTAATATTGTCAAAGAATTTTGATATTGTCAAAAAATTTCAGTATAAGTAAATAATTTTGACATTATTCAAGTAATATTAAATAGTATAATAATAGCAAAATGATATAATAAATAAATTTTAACATGATAAATAATTTTAGTATTGTCAAAAAATTTCAATATAAGTAAATAATTTTGATATTATTAAAGTAATATAATAGTATTAAAAAAAATATATTAATAATTTTTTATTGAAAGTTTTTAATTATATCAAAATTTTTTTATTTAAATTATCAAAATTTTTATTATATCAAAAAATATTACAAGTAATTTATATTATTGTATAATGATCTTTCATCATAACATTTCATATTATTGGATTATACATATTTCATATTTTATTGAATAAAAGTCAAATCATGTGAAGTAAGCAAACAAGTGAGCAAACAAGTAAATGAGTAAATGAACAAATGAATAACTAAATGAACGAGTGAACAAATATTGAACCAATAAAATTTAAGTGATATAGCGAACATGAATTTGTATAACTGATAAATTATATTTTAAATTTGTATAAAAGCAACATGTATCATAATTATTAGAATTAGATATGAACAAGTTCTTTTAGATAGTAATTCTCAATTATCATATCTAATTAGTTATCACGTAGTTTTGATCATTCAAAGAAACAAAGTTTGTACTTTATGTAGAATAAATAATTAAGTGCAAACTTCTCTTTACACTCTTTTGACAAAGTATTCATTTTCTTGTATAATCACTTTATAAGAAGTTATACAGATCTTGAATCAATATATATTATAATAGCTTAAGTAAGATTATCAAAAGCACTATAAAAGTTATTATCTTTATCCTAAACTTTCTGAACATATTGTGACAAAGTCTATTGAATATTATATTAAATAAAGGAATTATTATTATAATTCATAAATCTGTCTTTGAGATTGTATTACTAATAATACATTACTCATAAATTTATCTTTGACTTTGTATTGCTAATAATACATTGTTAATACACTTATCTTCAATTCGTATTGCTGATAATACGAATATTATATCTTATATTTGACTTCAAAGATTTAAAGACATTTTAATACGTATATTATATTTGACATTGAGATTTTGA